CATGCCCAGGTTTCCCCCTTTTTCCCCCCTTTTCCCCCTTTTCCCCCTCACTCCGCCCCGCCCCCGCCGATCTCTCTCTGTTTTTATCGTCACCAATCGCCCGGAACTGGGGCGCGTTTAAAACCCCATCGATCTTGATATGACGTGCCATAATCCGACAGTAATCGCTGTATCCCGGCCGGGAAATCCCCTGCCCGGGATTGATGGCTTCCCCCGCTCCCGTTATCCCCGGTCCCGCCGGGGCCCGGCCGTAAATCCGATCCCTTCCCAACGATTCCTTTTCACCTCCGGGATTCTCCTCCCGGGCATCCCGGCATCGCTCCCGAGCGTTCCTGGAGCTCTGGAGGGGGTTTGATTTTTTTATTTAATTCGGTTTCAAGGGGAATGGGGGGAAAAAAAAACAAATTTTGTGAGCTGGGAGCTCGGCCCCTTTTTCCAGAGGGAATTTTGGGGGGATGAGCTGCAGATTTCCCCAAATCCCCACGGAGCTGCTCCTGCCCCGTCTGTGGGATCGGGATGATGGAGCCACCCTGCTCTGGCCGGGCCCTTTTTTGGGTGATTTCAGGTGGAATTTGGTGCTTTTGCCTGGGAGCACTTGGATTTTCTGGGAAGGAAACTTCCCCCGGGAAGAAATTCCCAATTCTCCCCGGGATGATCCCAAATCCCAGCAAAACCAAACCCAACAAAGGCAGCGTTCAGGTCCTGAGCCTTCCCTGGCTTTGATCCTGTTCCAGACCCCACAAATCCCATCCCACTGATCCCATCCCATCCCTTGATCCCATCCCATCCCTTGATCCCATCCCATCCCTTGATCCCATCCCATCCCTTGATCCCATCCCATCCCTTGATCCCATCCCATCCCTTGATCCCATCCCATCCCTTGATCCCATCCCATCCCTTGATCCCATCCCATCCCTTGATCCCATCCCATCCCTTGATCCCATCCCATCCCTTGATCCCATCCCATCCCTTGATCCCATCCCATCCCTTGATCCCATCCCATCCCTTGATCCCATCCCATCCCTTGATCCCATCCCATCCCTTGATCCCATCCCATCCCTTGATCCCATCCCATCCATCCCATCCCATCCCTTGATCCCATTCCAGGTCCCCATTCCCTGGCCCTGATCCCATTCCAGATCCTTCCACACTGACCCCATTCCAGGGCCTGGATCCCATTTCGGGTTCTCCATTCCCGCCCCCATTCCCTGGCTTGTTCCCGTTCCCGCCCCCATTCCCAGACTTTTCTCGCCGCTCCAATCCCTTTCCCAGCCCTTTCCAGGCCCCCCAAGGCTGGGGAGGGAATGGCTCTGGGGGTGACCCTCGCTCCCTGCCGGGATTCAGGGCGGTCAGGCCCGCTTTTTTTGGGGTTTTTTTGGGTTTTTTCCCTGGAATCTCCGGGTTTGGGAACAGACCATTTAGGATCCGGCGTTTTGGGTTGTTTTCCCCGGAATTGCCGGCTTTGGTGCCGATTCTCCCCGCCGACTCCAGAGGGAGCCCGGACAAGGGAGGATGAGCGGCTGCGATTTTCCAGCCGGGAAAGCCTCGGGAAGGGAGCGGGGCTGCCCCAGCGAGGCCGGCTTTTCCTCCACCGCATCCCAGAATTTCCCATGTCAGCATCCCAGATTTTCCTTCATCTGCATCCCAGAGAAATCCAGATTTTCCTGTACCTTTATCCCAATTTTTGCTGTGCCCGCATCCCAGAGCATCCCAGATTTTCCCACATCAGCATCTCAAAGGATTCCAAATTTTCCTGGATCAGTATCCCAGAATATCCCAGATTTTCCTTCACGGACACCCCAAATTTTCCTGTATCTGCGTCCCAGAACAACCCAGATTTTCCCTCATCATCATCATCCCAGATTTTCCCTCATCATCATCATCCCAGATTTTCCCTCATCACCATCCCAGATTTTCCCGTTTCAATATCCCAGATTTTCCCTCCCCCCATAAATTTCCCCACCTCCCATTTTCCCAGATTTTGCCCCAAAACCTCCCTCCAGCCCCGGGTTTTTCCAGCGCTCTCCCCCCCGATCCCGACCCTTTTTTTGGGACAGCCCCACCCCCTTGGAATTGCCATCGCGCCCCTCCCCCACCCGGGCCGGGGTGACGGCGGGGTCACCGCCGCCCCTCCCCCACGCCGAGCCCCCCCGATCTATTAATTACTGACAGCAATTAATTAATGAGGAAAGGGGGGAGGCGGGAAGGGGGGGAGGGCGGCTCCCGCCTGTTGCTAATTAACACCGGGAGCGTTAATGAAGGCAGCGCAGCCCTGGCCGGTATTTAATTGATTCGGGGAATTAATTGGGGGTGGGGGTTTGCTCTCCTCTGCTCCAAGGGCGCTCCAGCCGCCCCCATCCCGGGGAAATCGGGGATTTTGGGGGGATTTAGGGGGGTTTGGGAGACTGGAAACGCAGGAAAATTGGAATTCGTGGCACTGGAAAAACTGGGAAATGGGAATTTGGGGAAACTGGGGTTTGGGGAACTGGAAAAGCAGGAAAATGGAAACACGGGAAAATGGGGATTTGTGGAAAATGAGGATTTGTGGAAAATGGGGATTTGTAGAAAACGGGGATTGTGGAAATGGGGATTTGTGGAAACGGGGATTGTGGAAATGGGGATTTGTGGGAAATGGGGATTTGTGGAAACGGGGATTGTGGAAATGGGGATTTGTGGGAAATGGGGATTTGTGGAAAATGGGGACTGTGGAAAATGAGGATTTGTGGAAAATGGGGAAATGGAAACGTGGGGAAATGGGGATTTGTGGTAAATGGGGATTGTGGAAATGGGGATTTGTGGAAATGGGGATTTGTGGAAACGGGGATTGTGGAAATGGGGATTGTGGAAAACGGGGATTGTGGAAAATGGGGATTTGTAGAAAACGGGGATTGTGGAAATGGGGCTTTGTGGGAAATGGGGATTTGTGGAAACGGGGATTTGTGGAAAACGGGGATTTGTGGAAAATGGGGATTGTGGAAAACGGGGATTGTGGAAATGGGGCTTTGTGGGAAATGGGGATTTGTGGAAAACGGGGATTGTGGAAATGGGGCTTTGTGGAACACGGGGAAAAGGAAACGTGGGGAAATGGGGACTGTGAAAAATGGGGATTTTGGGGAAACGGGGATTCGGGAAAAGGGGATTTATGGCGCTGGAACCTCGCCCCGCGCTCCCCTTCCCCCGCTCTCCGCCGAACCCCGCGGTCTTTAATTGGATCCGCAGAGATGAAAGCAGCGCCGGGGGGGCGGCGCGGGGCCCTGACGTCCGCCGAGTGTCCCCGGGCGGGTGACACGGTGACAAATGGCCCGGTGACAGTAATCGCCGAATTAGAGCGCGCTCGGCGCTCCGCGGGCGCAGCCGCCGCGCCGGCTCCGCCCGGCCGCGGGTGCAAGGAGAGGTCAGGCAGCGGCCCGGAATGCTAATGAGCGATGCCGCGGAAAAACCGGCAAAGGGCCGCGGAAAATGCGCGGAAAATTCCAAACCGCCGCTTTTGGCCGCGCTCTGCCGGCCCGGGGAGCGGAGGGACGGTCCTCCTGTCCCCGTGTCCTCCTGTCCCTCTGTCCTCGTCCTGGCCATGTCCTCCTGTCCCCGTGTCACCGTGCTGGCCGTGTCCTCTTGTCCCCCGACCCTGTGTCCCCGTGTCCCCGTCTTGGCCATGTTCTCCTGTCCCCGTGTCCTCCTGTCCCCGTGTCCTCCTGTCCTCGTGTCCTCCTGTCCCCGTGTCCTCCTGTCCCCGTGTCACCGTGCTGGCCGTGTCCTCCTGTCCCCCGACCCTGTGTCCCCCTGTCCCCATCCTGGCCATGTCCTCCTGTCCCCCTGTCCCCATCCTGGCCGTGTCCTCCTGTCCCCGTGTCCCCCCTGTGTCCTTGTCCCCGCGTGCGGCGCCTTCCCAGCGGGACACGGAAACGGGAACACCGGGAAATGGGGGTTTGGGGAAATGGGAACATCGGGAACTGGGGGTTTGGGGAACTGGGAACATCGGGAACTGGGGGTTTGGGGAACTGGGAACATCGGGAACTGGGGGTTTGGGGAAATGGGGGTTTGGGGAAATGGGGGTTTGGGGAACTGGGAACACCGGGAAAAGGGGATTTGTGGCCTGGGAACGCAGGGAAATGGGATCTGCAGCCTCGGACGCCGCCCCGGGGCTCTGCCCCTTCCCACGGCCCCGGGATTCGGGCGGCTCAGCGCCCCGGAGAAGGGGCCTGGGGACCCAAATCGGGTCTGGGGGTGCAAATCCCAGTCCGGGGGTGCCCCCCCGGGCTGGTTTAACCCCCGCCGTGCCAGGGCCGCGCGGCTCCGTGCCAGAATTCCCGGGATCCGCAGCCGCTTCCCGGCTCCGCGCGGCTCCTCCCGCACCCGCGCGGCTTTTGGATGCCGCAAATCCTCCCGCTGCTGCCAAAATTCTGGGATAAAATCCCCAAAAACGCAGCCCCGCATCCACCCCTGCGGGAGCTCCTGGGGGAAAGGCGAGGAAAACGCAGCGGGAGGCGATTTGGGCTTTTTTCGCCTCGTTTTTCCTCATTTCGTGTTCGTTTTCCTCCCGCGCCGGGCTATGCGGGAGGAGCGGCTCTCAGCGCGAAATAACGGCTGGAAATGCGGAGATTCCGCGGTTTTGGGGAGTTTCGGCTGTTTCGGGAGCCGCGGCGGGGAGGGGACAGCCGGCGGTGCCGCCGCGGGGGCCGGGGATGAAAAGGGCGAGAGGCCCCGGGAGTGTCGGGGTGATTAATGGGGGTGAGCGCGGGGTGAGCCGAACAAGGCGGCACTGTTCGCCCCAAATCCTCCCGCAAAAACAGCAAAAAAACCCCAAAAACCCCCGCGTTGTTCCCGCGGAGTTCGTCTGCCCCGAGCCCTCTCGCTGGTTTGTTTTTTGGTTTTTTTTTTCAATTTGCTATTTTATTATTATTTAATTTTTTGTTGTTTTTAAAATCATTGTTTTTACGTTTTCTCTTCTGTTATCTTGCACAGTTTTAATCGCAATAAAGCAGCGCGGCCGCGAGGTGTAAATGGCCGCGAGAATCGCGAGATTTCCATGGATTTCCATGGATTTCCATGGATTTATTTGCTCAGCAAACAAAAACACCCGCGGGGAGGCGGCGGGGCCGCGTTTGGGGTCACGACAAAACCCCGCCAGCCGCTGGAGCTTCTTGGCTTGGTTTGTTTTGCTTTTGTTTAAAGCGCCCAAACCCCGCGGATTTCGCTCCCAAATTCTCCTTCCGGACCTGGGGACCCCAAAAAGGACGGAGGAATTTGGGGAGCGCCCTCGGGGCCGGAATTCGCTCCCCTGCGGGGTTTTAAATGCCGGATAAACGGGGAAAATCAGGATTTTCCCGTCCGAATTCCCACCCGGGTGAGGGATTTGGGGGGGAAGCCCCGGGAAGGAGCGGGATGGGGAATTTTGGGGATCCCCGAGCTCCCCTCCCGTTTTTCCTCCCCGCCGCACCCCAGAGCCGGTCTGTCCCCCCAGGGCTTCCCCCGAATATTCGGGAGCGGCGCCGAGCTCGCTCCGGCTGGAAGCGGGATTTTGGGGGAATTCTTTGGGGTTTCGAGGGGCGCTCGGAGCGGGGAAAGGGGGGAGCGGCTGGGGGCGATCCTGGGAAGGGGACGGCGGGGACAGGACCCGGGGCTGGGGACAGGACCCGGGGCTGGGGACACGTCCCGGGGTTGGGGACACGTCCCGGGATTGGGGACACGTCCCGGGGGGCTGGGGACACGACCCGGGGGCGGCAGGGGGGGTCCCGGGGGGTTGGGGACACGTCCCGGGATTGGGGACAGGACCCGGGGTTGGGGACACGTCCGGGGGTTGGGGACAGGACCCGGGGTTGGGGACACGTCCCGGGGGCGGCAGGGGGCCTTGGGGACCTGTGGAATGGAATAAACGCGGAATCGGGGATTTACGGAATTGCGGGAAATCCGATTTGGGGACCTGTGGAATCGGGGACCCGTGGGAATGCAGGGATGTCGATTTGGGGGGATCCGTGGGGATGCGGGATCGGGGATCCGTGGAATTGGGGATCCATGGAATTGCAGGAATATCGATTTGGGGATCCATGGAATTGCAGGAATGCGGGATCGGGGATCCATGGAATTTGGGATCCATGGAATTGCGGGAATGCGGGATCGGGGACCTGTGGAGCCGCAGGCGTCTGGAGCTGAGGGGGATTAATTGCGGTTTAAATTAAACCCCAATTTACGGGAACCGCGGACCTGCGGAAAACGCAGGAAGAGGAATTGGGATCAAACGCGGGGAATTGGGAACGCGCGGAATTGCCGAGAAAATGACGGGAACCTGAGTGAACCCATGGCAACCCCTGAGAATTTTTGGGAACCCCTGAGAATTTTTGGGAACCCCTGAGAATTTCCAGAAATCCCTGAGAATTTTTGGGAACTCCTGAGAATTTTTGGGAACCCCTGAGAATTTCCAGAAATCCCTGAGAATTTTTGGGAACCCGCGGGAACGCGAGGCCGGGGCGCCCCGAGCCGCGCCCTGCGCCGCTGCGGTAATTAGGAGCGGTAATTAGGAGCGTTAATTAGGCACGTTCACACACACAAACACGCGCGCCGGCCCAGAGAGCGATTAAGGGCTGCTGGAATTTGCATCTCATTAGCGTTCCCATCTCATTAACATTCCCGCAAGGGCTGCTCGAGGGCGGGCGGGTCCTGCAGCGGCGAGAGGCGGAAAGAAAAGAAAATACGAAATAAAATAAGAAAATAGAACGGAATAAAACATGAAATAGAATAAAACACCTTTAGAAAAATAGATTTATAAAATAAAATATAAAGTAAGGGTATAAAATAAATGTAAAAAGGAAATCAATATAAAATTAAATGTTGAAGTAGAATAAAATTTAAAATTATATAAAATAAATATAAAATAAATATAAAATAAAATAAAAATTAAATGAAACAAAATAAAATAAAATAAATAAAATAAAGAAGCGCGGAGCTCCGGGCGCGGGAGCCGCGGGCGCGTTTGGGATCCGAGTCACGTTCGGGAAATTCAGGGGCCGCTGCGCGGGGGGCGAGCCCCTCGCTGCCTCCCGTGAACTGCCTTCCCTCCTTCGAGCCGGGAAGGGGGGGCTGCTGCGGCCCCCGCCCCGCCAGGAGGGGAACTTGGGGTGCGGACCCCCCAGCTCGCCCTTTTCCATCCCCCAAAATCCCCCCCCGCATGAAAATCCTTTTCTTCTCCGCGGAGGGATTTTTGGGGCGGGGGTTGTTCGCGTTTCCCCGCCCGCGTTCCCACAATCCCGGGGAATTTTTGGGGGGCGCAGCTTCTCCCACTCCCTTTTCCCCTCTCTTTCCATTCCCTGGGGCTGGAAATCCCAAAAATCCCCAAAATCCCCTCCAACCCCGAGGATTTTTGGGGTTCGAACCCCCCCCCCCGCTCCCCCTTTTCCATTCCCTGGGGCTGGAAATCCCTGGGGCCGCCCCAAAATCTCGGGGGGCTTTGGGGTGGGGGCCGCCCCAAAATCCCCCCCTGGCTGAAAATCCCGGAGGATTCGGGGTGGGGGCTGCCCCAAAATCCCCCCCTGGCTGAAATTCCGGGGGGCTTTGGGGCGGGGGCGTCCCCAGAGTCCCCCCCTGGCTGAAATCCCGGGGGATTCGGGGTGGGGGCGGCCCGAAAATCCCCCCCTGGCTGAAATTCCGGGGGAATTCGGGGTGGGGGCTGCCCCAAAATCCCCCCCTGGCTGAAATTCCGGGGGATTTGGGGCGGGGGCGGCCCCAGCATCCCCCCCTGGCTGAAATTCCCGGGGAATTCAGGGTGGGGGCTGCCCCAAAATCCCCTGCTGGCTGAAAACTGCGGGAATTCGGGGTGGGGGCGGCCCCAGCATCCTCCCCCGGCTGAAATTCCCGAGGAATTTGGGGTGGGGGCTGCCCCAAAATCCCCCCTGGCTGAAAATCCCGGGGAATTCGGGGCGGGGGCGGCCCCAGCATCCCCCCCTGGCTGAAATTCCCGGGGAATTCAGGGTGGGGGCTGCCCCAAAATCCCCTGCTGGCTGAAAACTGCGGGAATTCGGGGTGGGGGCGGCCCCAGCATCCTCCCCCGGCTGAAATTCCCGAGGAATTCGGGGTGGGGGCTGCCCCAAAATCCCCCCCTGGCTGAAAATCCCGGGGGATTTGGGGTGGGGGCTGCCCCAAAATCCCCCCCCGGCTGAAAACTCTGCGGGGATTTGGGGCGGGGGCGGCCCCCGCAGCCCCCCCCGGCCGAGCCCCGCGGGATTTGGGGCGGGGGCGCCGCAGCCCCCCCGGCGGGCCCCTGAACTCGGCGTGAACCCCAAGCGCGGCCATAAATCAGCCGCCGCTCCCTTAACCCCTGCGCGCCCGCAACGTTCACCCAAAACCCGCCCAAATCCGCCCAAATCCGCCCAAATCCGCCTCTGCTCCGCGCTCCCCCCGGGCTGCGGCGGGAGGAGGAGGAGGGAGCGGATCCCGGGATTTTTGGGGGGGAGGAAGGGGATTCACCCCCCCCCCGGGGATGGGTTTGGGGTTTTTTGGGGGGTGGAAAGGGAAAGGAGGAGGAGGGAGGATGAGGAAGGAGCGGATCCCGGGATTTTTGGGGTGGGAGGAAGGGGCTTCACCCCCAGGGATGGGTTTGGGGTTTTTTGGGGGGCGGAAAGCGAAGGGAGGGGGTGCGAGGAGGAGGAGGAAGAGGAGGAGGGGGAGGGGAGGAGGAGGATGCGGCGGGGAGGAAGGAAGGGGCGCGGGAGGGGAATCGATCGGGGCCGGTAATGGATCGGGAAATCGATCCCGAAATGGGAGCGCGAGAGTGGGACCGGAGAGAGGGGGGAGGGGCCGGGGGGGGGACACGGACAGACAGAGGGACAGACGGACGGACGGACAGGGAGAGACCGACACAGGGACAGGGGGACACGGACAGACAGAGGGACACGGACAGACAGGCGGACAGGAGGACAGGGACAGACAGACACAGGGGGACACGGACAGAGGGACAGACGGACAGGGGGACACGGACAGACCGACAGACGGACAGGGAGAGACCGACACAGGGACAGGGGGGAGAGGGGACAGAGGGACACGGACAGACCGACACAGGGACAGGGGGACACGGACAGACAGACAGACACAGGGGGACTCGGACAGAGGGACAGACGGACAGACGGACAGGGAGAGACCGAAACAGGGACAGGGGGACAGGGACAGACAGACACAGGGACAGGGGGGAGAGGGGACAGAGGGACACGGACAGACCGACAGGCGGACAGGGGGACAGGAGGACGGACGAGGACACCCGGACACGGTGAGGGACACGGGGACACGGACAGACGGACAGAGGGACAGGGACAGACGGATGGACACGGACAGACGGACAGAGGGACAGGGACAGACGGATGGACACGGACAGACGGACAGAGGGACAGACGGACTGAGGGACAGGGGGGAGAGGGGACAGAGGGACACGGACAGACGGACAGACGGACAGAGGGACAGACGGACAGAGGGACAGAGGGACAGGGACAGACGGATGGACACGGACAGATGGACAGAGGGACAGACGGACAGAGGGACACGGACAGACGGACAGACGGACAGAGGGACAGACGGACAGAGGGACAGAGGGACAGATGGACAGAGGGACAGACGGACAGACGGACAGAGGGACAGACGGACAGAGGGACACGGCCCGAAGGATGGACAGGGCCGGACGGGCAGGGACAGGGACCGGGACACGCCCACAGTGACCTGGACACGCCCCCCACGGCCGGGACACGCCCCCACCGGGCCCAGGCCCCGCCCCCTGCAGGGCCCGCTCCCCTCCCCCACCCCCTCAGCCCTCGGCCGGACAAAAAACAAAAAAACCCCAAAAAAACCCAAAACCGACCAAAAAAACCCTTCCCAAAAAATCCCGAAAACTCCCTACAAAACCCCAAAACTCCCTAAAAAATCCCAAAATCCCTAAAAGCCCCAAAATCCCTAAACACCCCAAAATCCCTAAAAACCCCAAACCTCCTAAAACCCAAAACCCCCAAAAAGCCCCAAAATCCCC